TTCCTAATTTTAAGATCCGGCTATGAGGAGGAGGAAGGCTTTGTTAAGTTGCCCTACAACAATAACCACAATAAGTAGGAAGCAGGCAATAGAAAAGCTAAATGAGACTTGTTCAAAGTTGAAAGAAGTTCACCTTGGGCGCCTGCAAAGCAGGCGACTCTTCAGTTGACCGCTTGCCTAGGATGGTCGAGCGGTACTAGGCAGTAGCTTTCTTCGATGCAAAGAGCTTTTCCATAGCTTTATCTGCAAGAGATGAATCAAAAGGTTAGTTCGACACAAAATCAACCAAGTCTTACAAGACACTTGAACATGCAGTCAACTACCTCTCGGCATCTCTCCACTAAGGCCACAGGCGACCAGATATGTCCCGTCTTATAGCCAGTTATACTTGGGAATATAATTTTGGGGAATTAACTCCCTTGCCCCAGTCTCGGGGTTTGCTTGGATGTCCACTTTGAAGAGGCCTTTGTCAAGGATCTCCTCTCTGGCTCTATGAGGAACAGGCGGCAGCTCAGTCCCGCCTGTTTGGAAATGTGGGTTCCTGTTCCACTTGTCAAACTTTTGATTTTGGACTTTGTCAGGCCTGGAGACAATGTAGAAAGTGTTCCTCCAATCTTTCCATTTGTTCTCCTTCCCTAAAGTCATCATATAGCCCATGTGGCTAGACAACTGGTACCAGCCGGTCCCGCTTGTTTTTGGGATCCGGCTAAGGTAGTGCATGTGGGCGAATGCTTCAAAGCTGGGGTCTACTCCGTGCATTTCGCAGCCGGCAACATAGCCTAAAATGTTGAAACAAGAGTTTAGGGCCAGTTGCCAAACACCCAGCTGATATCCGTCCAGGATTCGCTCCACAACCGGATGAAGAGGAAATCTTAGGCCAGCCTTAATAGCCGCCTCATAACACCCAAAACACTCGTCCTCGTAGCTGGTCCCTTCTGGCCAGACTATGGTGTCCTCGGCATCCGGCGTGCATAAGATATAACCATGCCCCATGACATGGTCAGCTCTGAAGCTCCCTATTTTGTCCGCCATCATTTTCCGCCTGCCTGTGGGAACATGATGATAGTAGGCGACATATTGCTCTTGGCGGGTAGCAGACGGCTTCGCCCAATCTTCTCCCAATTCTACTGAGAGGGATTCTCTTGCTGTTTCTAACCGAGAGTGCCTCTCCTCAAAGTCATCAGAGAATTTGCTAGAAGTACTTGGCTTAGAGTCACTGCCTGAGCTCTCGGATCTAGCGTCCGCCTGATTGGCTAGATCAACCAAGTCGGCATGTCATTTTGAACCTCCTCCCCTAATTCTTCTAAAATGGAATTAATAGGGGTGTTTGGGGCGCCAGGCAGCACGTCAGATATCTCACTGACAGGCGCATAGAAGGAGGAGCCGTCTGAGTTTGTCACCCTTGCAGTTCTTTTAGTTCTGGCCATAGTGTCCTGCACAGACACATAGACAGTCGGACTTGGGGCAGTTCGCAAAGGGTGGTCCAGCAAGGGGCAGTCGGCACTCCTAGTTCTAGATCCAGCCGTCCCCGGTGACCGACTGATCACTAACCTAGGTCGTGCCGTGTTCTTTTGGGAAACCATTTTCAAAAAGAAAAAAAAACAATGAGAAAGTACGAAAGAAAAGCAGGCGGTTACCTTTAAACTAAGAAGTTGAAGGTGCTTGAAAAATCTTCGGCGGCTGTAAGAGCATGCGGTCTGGTATCAGGCGGCAGTCGTTCATTCAAAGAAAATGACAATGTTCTCAAGGCAAGAGTTCTGTCTGAATGTTTTTTGGAAATGCCCAAACAAATGATTTGGACATCCCCTATTTATAGGGGGGTGAATTTCAAGAGACAGTTAAAAAAAAAAAAAGAAAAAAAAAAGGTAAAAACCGTTGGCCAATCAGAGCGTGACATCTGTCACAGGCGCCACGTGGCAAGCCACGTCACCCCTGTGAGGGGCAAATTATTAGGGGATTTAACCCCGCCACATGGACTAATTGAACTCTGCCACGTGTCATCCACGTGGGCCAACCAGAGTATGCCACGTGTCACCTCGTGAGAGGTCCAAGGTGGACCAATCAGGCCACGACACGTGGCAGACAAATTGCCAGCTAGGAGAGTGGCCTTTAACAACCCAAATTCCTAAGCAAGCCAAGTCAGTCCTAGGTTTCTTAAAACCTAGTACTAGGCCCGTACTTCAAGACCCTATAAAAGGGAGATGTTCCTCCTGAGGAATATCATTTAGATAATATGAAACACACGTGTACATTAATTGCTGAGCATTAACTCTAGTTTTAATTGCACTTCTTGAGAGCTAAGGCTCGGATTTCGAGGCTGTCTGAGATAGCCGGATAATCACTTCTCTTTTGGGAGGAGCCTGATCCCATTTACATTCCGCATACTTTACATCTGAACACATTTTAACTTGATCGTCGGAGGCGGAACTCCACCCAACCGGAGTCTCCGTTGTTTTGCAAGTACAGGCGTCCAGAGACTAGTCTTGGAATTGTAACTCTCCCGAAGGACATCAAAAAATCCTGAAACACCTAACTTGAGGATATGGTCCCAGCCTTTTTCTAGGACAGGAAACAAGACTACCTTTTGCCCCAACAAATAAGGGTCATGGTTCCAAGAGTTGAACTTTTTATTCCTCTCAATGTCTAACGTCGAGATGGTGAAAAACTTATTTCTCCAGTCCTTCCACTTGGACTCCTTTCCAATAGCCATCATGTACCCCTTATGGCTTGTCAGGGTGTACCAGCCGGAGCCGCTTGCTTTAAGGGTTCGACTCAGATATGCATTTTGGCGAATGCTTCAAAGCCTGGCTCAACGTTGAGCATCTCATAGGCGACAATATACCCTAGAATGTTAACCCAAGAGTTGGGGGCAAGTTGCCAAACACCAAGGCGATATCCATTTAAAATTTTCCCCACCGCCGGGTGGAGAAAGAACCTCAGGCCAGCCTGGATGGCCGCATCATAGCAGCCAAAACACTGGCTCCCGTAACTTGACCCAGCCGGCCAGACGACTGTGTCTTCCAAGTCAGGGACATGGATTTCGTACCCAGACCCCATGACATGGGTAGTTCGAAATTCGTCCAACTTCTCAAGCATGGAATTTTGCTTACTAGCCGTTATGTGATGGTAGTAGGTGGCAAACTTCTCCTGGTGAGAGGTGGAAGCCTGTCCTTCACCCCTCCCTATGGAGGTAGCCGCTTTCGCTTCAGCAGGCGGCGAAGACTCTGCCTCGGAGCCCTCAGACTCCTTATTTGATGTACACGACCCTAATCCAGCCTCAGAGCCGCCTGATCTAACGTCCGAATGGGGCGACCTGTGAACAAAGCCGGAAGTATCATTCCCAGACTCTTCACCCGACATTATTAAGATAGAGTCGCCTAGTGTATTCAGAGGACTTGGCGGATGGTATGAAATATCACTAACCGACACCCTAAAAGAGTCGTCCTCATTGAGCTCTCGACCTGTTCGCTTTGTTCTGACCATAGTGTCTTGCACATACGTAAAGACGGTCAAATTCGGGGATGTTCGCAAGGGGGAGTCCAAGTAAGGACAGCCGACACTCCTAATCCTAGATTCAGCCGTCCCAGGTTGCCGGCTTATTGCTATCCTAAGCCGTGTCGTGTGTGTTGGTGAAATCATTATTTAAAACGAAGAAAAACAAACACAGACGGTAAATAAAGTGAAAAGAGAGAGAAAAACAGGCGGTTACCTTTAAAGAGAAGGTTTTGTTAAATTGTTTGAAGCTTGTGACGACTACGATGTACACGAACAAAGTACAGGCAACATAAGTTTTTCTCTCAAAAAGTCAAATTCTCTCTCGAAGATTTTTCGTGAACATGCGAAAATAAGGGGGGTAAAAACTATTTATAGAGGGGTGAAATTTCAGGGTTACCTCTATAATTTCCTCGTGAAACAGTTAAACACCTGTCACCGCTGCAAGCGTGACAAATGTCACAGGCGTCATGTGGCACGCCACGTCACCCCTGTGAGGGGCAAATAATTTGGGTAAAAATATCCAAGCCACGTGGACCAACCAGAGCGTGACACGTGTCACCCTAGGAAGTGCCCTAAACGGGCTAACCGGGACAAGACACGTGGCATGCGGAGGCTAAAGGAAAATGGCGGCCTTCTCAGGCCCATTTCTCGAGGCGCCGTAAAACGACGCATCCCACTAAACGTAGGTTAGAATGACCTGCGTAAGGGCACAATTCCCGATTTCCTATAAATAGAGACATTTATCCCAATTTGGGGGACATATTCATTTATTACAGCATTTACTATTCTCTTACAACAGAGAAATCACCTGATCTCGAGATTCGAGAAGATTCACTTACTTTTCGCATTTTACTCTTCGACACGTACTAACTTGATCATTGGAGGCGAAACTTCGAACAACCGGAGCATCCGTTTGTGTGCAGGTACAGGCGACAAGGATCAGACTCAGTGAAGTAACTCTCCCGCAGGACACATAAAAACCCCCGAAACAAATATTATTCTGTTCGGTAAAATAACAGATGCCGGATTTCAATTCTAAATAATTGGGTTTAAGTGGTTCGGTTCCCGTTGGATATAGGGTCAATAACGAATAATCTTATAGTTTGCTATAAAAATTAACAATGTTGTGCATACAAAATACAAGGGGTTGATTGGAGAACAAAAAAAAAAAAAATAAAAAAAAATTCAAAAGGAGCGTAATGTACATCCACAATTCTAACAAAATAAAGGTGATCAACTGTGGTCTAGCCCAGACCAATCCGAAAAAGTAAGGGTTTGAGTAAGCCTAAAACAACATTTTTTAGTTAATTATCTAAACTCGACCCAGAACAAAACCGTTACTTTTTTTTGGACATGAGGATTGCTAAGACATCAAATATATGAGCGTACACAATAATTACTATGGAACATTTCCCATCATATAAAAACCTAAGTAGCAGTAATTAATTTGATTATGAAATTTCCCATAATCTTTATCGTATAAACCGGGATTAAATCTTTATTAGTTACGGAGGGAACTGTATAATCTTTCGGAAACTTTGATCATTATCAAAACTCTGTTTATTTATTAATTAATTTATTATTAATTTTCATAAATAAATACACCTAATAAAGAAAAAAAAAAAAAAAAAAACCAAAAAAACAACATAGAGGCGGTGATATTATAAAAACCCAAGTGCAATTTACACCCTAAAATTCACACTTTTTGCTTGCAATTTGGGTACAATCGAAGATCATTTTATTTGTGGAAATACCCATCAAATAATTTTAATATTGTAAGTCAATTTTTCTCTTACAATCTTATCTTCATTAATTTTTGTATTTATTTTTAATTAAATTTAATGTTTGATTTTGATCGATTATATTGTAAATTTTTTCCCATTATTTGGTGCAATTCTGACTCTTGTTTGTTGCGTTGAATTGGATTAGTAAGTCTGATACTTGTTTAAAAAATTCTAATTTTGTCAAAATTTTCTCAGTGTTTTTTTTTTTTTTTTTTTGGTGATCAATATTGTTGATCAATTTAAAATTGAAATATTATTATTTTTGGTTTATTTATATCATATTCAGTGATTCTGTTTTATGATTTTTTTTTTGAATGGTTGTAAATAGTTTGTTTGTGATTATTTAATTGATATTAGTTTAATGCTCCAATTGTGACACAATAATTTAGCTTTAAACTTAAATATAGTGTTGTTTGTGATGGTTTAATTGATACTAGTTTTTTTTGGATAATTGGATATATTGTTGTTGGTGATGATTTAAATTTGTACAAGTAGTTTATATGCTCGCAATTGTGAAACTTGATTGAACTTTTTAGTTTAAACTTGAAAATATAGTGTTGTTTATGATGCTTTAAGTATGTGTGGTTTATACAGGGTGGATGGTAGACAAGTTAATGGGGGATAGTATAACGGAAAGTAGGGGTCAGAAACGAATAGAAATGGCGGAAGATTTGCCTGCAGATAAGCGGGCATGTAGTTCGCTGGAGTTTAGACCGAGTTCGTCGACTGTAACCCCTGAAACAATTGTTAATGCGACGAGTACAGCATTTGAGATGCGTGTTGGTGATATGGAAACTTCATCTTCATCTGCAGCTTCAGCCTCTGGACATTCTGAGGGTGATGGTGAGAGGGATTCTCCATATGGGTCATGTGATTCTGATGATATGGAGGATGATGATGATGATCGATATAGCAGTCTTCGTGAGCTTCAACGTAGTCGATCACAGAGTGATAGTGCCAAATTTGATGGGATTGTTTCTTGTTTGAGTAATGATGCTGAGCCTTCAGGACAATTAGCTGCTTTAACTGAACTTTGCGAACTTCTTTCGTTTTGTACTGAAGATTCAATATCAAGCTTGATAGCTGATCGATTTACTTCTGCTCTTGTAAAGTTGGCAAAGCATGAGAACAGCCCAGATATTATGCTTTTGTCTATCAGGGCTTTAACTTATTTATGTGATGTTTACCCACGTTCTTCTAGTTTACTTGTCAGGCATGAAGCAGTTCCTACTTTGTGTGAGAGACTGTTGATCATTGATTATCTTGATGTAGCTGAACAAGTATGTCCCCTCTCCGTTTAACAAGCGACCCCATAATGTTAAAAACGTTTTAGCTGTATGTTATATGTTTATTCGAATATGTATTGTTTGATTCATGTTAGCCACTTGTTTCATGTAGTGCTTACAAGCATTGGAGAAAATTTCCCGTGATCAGCCACTTCCATGCCTACAATCTGGGGCAATAACAGCTGTTTTAGGTTATATAGATTTCTTTTCTACTACCGTCCAGGTAAGTCACCGTGAGTTAATTGGCCAATATTTAAATTTTTTGTCTTATTTTTTCGTAACTTTAAATTGTATTTTATGCATTTTTGTTTGTATTAGAGAACTGCACTACGCACTGTTGTCAATATATGTAAGAAGCTCCCATCTGAATGTCCTTCACCTGTCATGGAGGCAGTTCCTAGATTGTGTATGCTTTTGCAGTATGAAGATCAGCAGGTTTGTAAAGTGTCATTTTATATGTTTATTTATTTGTATATCTATATTTTGTTTTAGCCTTTGCTCCTGCCATGGATGTCACACACGTGAGTATGTGATGTGACTTGTGACTTTCTTTTGCTCTTCTCTTCTCTTAATCAACTTTAATGTGTACTCTTCAGCTGGTAGAGCTTGTAGCCATTTGCTTGATCAAAGTAGGAGATTGTGTGAAGGACTCTCTGGGGATGTTGAGTGAGCTTTATGGTCATGGACTCATTAATCAAGTCATTCATCTCATAGACTTGAATAGTCGAATCACTTTAAGCCAACCTACATACACCGTAAGTTATGATCCTTTCATATTCAGAGCAGCTCTACAGCAAGCATTTGCAAATTATTCCAGCCTTATAACTGAACTTTCGTTTCCTGTCTTGGAGAGAAAAGCACTGTAGTCATGTCTGTTTTGCTATGTTGTGATACAGGGTCTTGTTGGACTAGTTGCCAAAATTGCATCTAGATCAGCTGATGCTGTAAGAACTCTTTTTGAGCTTAACATTGGAAGAATTGTAAAGGATGTTTTGTCAAATTCTGACAATTCTCGTGTAACTCCTTCCCCTCGTACAAAAGACAGCAATTGCTCTCTGGTTTGTGTTATTACTTCCTTTTCTTTTCTCTTAAAATTGTTGGATTTTGTGCCAATCTGTAATTTGATGCTTTCATCTGATATTTATTGTGGTGCTAAGGTTATCATGTGTGAATAATATTTGATGAATTGATAACAAGCAGTACAGAAGTGGTGGGGGTATAAGGTGGGAAAAATCTTTGGCATGGAGGGGCATTGTGATTAAAGAGAGTTATTAAAGCAGATTTTTTATACTGCATGTTCTATTTGGTGGGAGAAATTGGCTTTAACCCCAGATTTTGAATAGCACATTCACAATATCATAATAGCTGTTGTAAATGTTATTAATGTATTATTAGATTAATGAATGATCAAGAGTTATCCTTGAAATTGTAAAAGTGATTAAGATGGGCATTGTGACCTTATAAAATATGGCAAGAACAATGTCACTGAAGATGCTATCTAAAATTTTCATCTAAACATTAAAGATAAGATATATAATCTATAAATCTTCTGTTTAAAAAACTAACATTTAAGGTTTCAAATAAGCCTAGAAACTTCCCCATTCTCTTTGGTCCATCAGAACCCATTATTACGTTTTAGTGGGATACATGTCTTTGCCAAAGAAGCCTCTTTCTTAAGAAGTGCTGTCCATGAGGAGGGCAAGAAATCCCCATAGGCAACACTACAAACTAAGCACCATATTCACACTTTCTTTGTTCTGTTGCCTCCTATCACGTCTTGTCTTCATCAATGTCATCATAATCTCAAATTTTTGAAAATATTACAAGCACATTGTGAGATTCAGGAAGGATATGAGGGGGAAAAACAAAGTGCACTGTGATTAATGCTTTTCCAGTTTAGAATCAAAGCTGTTTAGTGAACCCTAAATATCAAGTTGGTGAGATATATGATGATGTCCCTTGCCTCTTGGAGTACTTACATGTGAAGCCTATTGGACTAATGGTGGAGGCTTAGGATGTGAGCCTGTGAATTTATACCGGATTACTTATGTGTATGAATTGAAATTACTTTGAGGTTTCGATTCGAATGATATCTTGGGTGCTGAAAAACGAGACTATGCTTTGAATGAAAATATAATAAAATATTTATGAACCAGCTAACAGACTCATTATTTTTCTGACCTAAAATTGTGAAGGTTAATTTTTAACGTATCATCTAGATTCTAGAAAGCTTTGTTCATCTACCTTGATGTAATACTCATCTATCTTACTTCTCAAATGAGCTGGCATCAATATTTTGGTGGATGAAAGTATAAATTATCAGCCTTTTATGTTTTAGGTGCATGAAGTTCTGAAGTTGCTGCATGGGCTGCTTCCTGAAGTAGTCAGAGATAAGAAGGAAGAACTCTTGTCGAGCACAGACAGAATATTGTTGGATCAGCCTGATATAATGCAGGAGTTTGGGACAGATATTCTTCCTACTTTGGTCCAGGTTAATCCACTAGTATTTAGACACATTGGCTACCTTCTTTGTTTCCTAGCCTCTGTGCTTTCTTAAGAGTTTTATATTTTTATATTTTATTATTTTTATTAATAAGTTTCAAATTTAATATAAATTTAATTTTTATTACTGTATTCCATTTGCAGGTAGTTAGCTCTGGTGCTAATCTGTATGTCTGCTATGGATGCCTTTCAGTTATCAGTAGATTATTTTACTATAGCAAACCCGAGACTCTTCTCAAATTATTTGGGAGTATTAACATTGCAAGGTAAAAGATCCTTGATCTATCTCTGGGCAAACATTTACCATTACCAATTTTTTTTCATAATAAATATAACATCTCTTTGAACTGCATGACAGCTTTTTGGCAGGAATTTTCACTCGAAATGATCATCATGTTCTGGTATTAGCTCTACAGATTGCAGACACTGTCCTGGAAAAACTTTCTAATGTCTTAATGCAATCTTTTATCAAAGAAGGTGTTCTATTTGCAATTGATAACCTTCTCATGCCAGATAGTTGTTCACAGCAAACTTTTCCCATGACTGGCAGTAGCCAAAGTAAAAAGATTGCTGTGAAGGAGGTTGTGGGGTGCTTATGCTATATCTATCATACCAGAAAGTCACAGTCCACTATCGATTCTGAAAAATGCAAGGCTAACAAAGAATCTGTTATCAGCCTGGCTGAGCATCTGAAGACGAATTACTTCTCTGTAGAACTACATAGTTCTCAGAGCATGGTGACTGATTTACTTGAGGACCTTAGAAATGCTTCTCATACAATGAATGATTTTCTAAACATATCCCTAGACAGGGAAGCTGGTGCTCAGAGGGAAGAGAGACTCTGCAGTATTTTGGATAAAGTCATACTTCAACTTGGAGGGAATGTACCTGTTTCAACATTTGAGCTCATAGAAAGTGGCATTATGAAGGCATTATTGAACTACCTATCAAATGGTCAGTTTTTAAGCAGCTCATATATCTCTGATGACCTAACGCAAGCTTATGGTGTACAAAAAAGATTTGAGGCCTTTGCAAGAATGTCTTTGTCATCACCTGATCCAACCTCACAAGATTTACCATTGTCTTTGCTTGTGAGAAAATTACACCGTGCCCTTTCAACTGTAGAAACTATGACTGTTATGACAGGTTATGCAACCAAGCAAAGAGGCTCTTATGCAACTGTTCCTAATGGACGCTCAACCGCGTATCCATCTCTCAAAGTTCGCTTTGTGAGGGGAGAAGAAGAATTGTGCTTGGGTGACTACTTGAAAGATGCTGTGACTGTTGATCCTTTTTGCCTTGTGGAGGAAATTGAACAATATCTACAGCCCAAAGTAGGCCAAACAAGAAAGGAATCTTCAGAAGCTGGTACCCAGGCGTTCCTTGAAGCAAAAACTGAATCTAATCAAGCTCCTCTTAATGCTGCCTCCCATTCATGCAAAGGTGTTAAACATTTGGGATCAGGGAGCACTTGCACTGTTACGCCTGATTTGCAGGTTAGCTTCTTGCTTTAAACTGAGTCTTAGTTTTTCATTTGATTTTCATAATGACAATATATGTAAAATATTCTCTTCTGTTCAGTCTTTACTCGATAACCTTGGTAATCTCTTCTAGGTGTCCTTATTTTCTTCTAAAATACGAAGTATTTATCCTGTGCATGCATGGGTTGTTAATTTTTATTTTTTATTATTGAGTTATATTAATGTAGCTGACCTCACTTATAGGATTAAGGCTTTGATTGATTGATTGAGTTATATTAATGTACACTATTTTATTAAAATATATTTCTATAATGCTTATTCAAAATCTAAGACAGATTTTTTTTTTTCAAAATGTAAATAATTTAAATTTAGAAATTATATATTTTTTATTTCAAAATACTAATGAATTGAAGTTAAAGGCAACTAAGCAGTAAATGGAAGCTGAAAAGGGGTTAGCAACCATTTACAATCAAATAATAATAATAAATAAATAAATAAAAAGATATTTAGAATGGCCAGTGAAACTAAAAATTGTCAGTCATATTTTATCAATGTAAAATTTTTTTTGAAACAAAGTCAATGGAAGAGAATGTTTTTCACTTTGTTAAATCAGGGGGTGAAACTAACAATGTATTGAATAGGCATGATGGTTTAAAAAAATGAAAATACCAGGAAGAAGAAAATATGCATGGTGGTTATCTTACAAAATATAAAATTAAATGGAAATACTTGAGGGGGAAGGCCACGTGGCATCATGTTAGCAAATTTATCTTTTTATTTTATTTTATTTTATTTTTATTTTTTTTTTTAAATATTAGTATAGATTGCTACTAATTATTTATAAAAGCAATGGCAATGTGTCGTTTCCGATGTCTTTTAATTCTAAATTTTATTTCGAAAGAGTTTCAATTAATATGGGGGAGCTAATTGAAGAGAACTGAAACAGTGGAGCATATAATTGAAGTGAGGGATTTGACTTGCAAATTACTCAAGTTAGAAGCAGCAATAATTAGAAAGCAAGCTTTAGTTGGAGGTTTTTGTGTGCTCTAAGATTGTCTGATTGCTGTGCTGTGCTGTGCCACCTCTATCACTTGCTTAATCTGTTCATGAGCTCAGGTTGCAATTCTCTGCCAATGATGCTCTCCATATCATTATAATTGGTTTTCATGCTTGAGGATTTGTATTAATGTCTTTGAGAATTTGGTAAATGTTATCTTAGAGCTCCCCTTCTCACCTATGGTCTCATATCATGCCAGGTTCAAAGAATTCATCTGGTTCATTCCTTTTCTATTTCAAATCTTATCTCCTGAGTCCTGATAGTTATAGTTTGTGTTTGATATCAGAATACCTTCTATCTTTCTACCCTGCATTAAACAAAGATCTTATGCTTCTCTTTTTAGAACCTTTGTATTGAAGAATGAACAGCGTTATTTTTTAAATAATTGAAGGTAATACATATGAATTTTGTTTGTGATTAGAAATATCATTAGTTAGGGAATTAGTTTTCAAGGTTCATTCATCATGAGCTATCTGTTGTTCTGTGATTCAAATACTTTAAACAAATCTTTTAATAATTAGTAGATTTGTGTTATTCAGTGAAGCATTATTCAGGTGTTGGAGGTAGACAAAGGTGGCCTGAGTTTGTTGTTAACTAGTAGCTTGATTAACCCAAAAGCATTAGGTGCAGGTGTAGGGAGTGGGAATGAAACTAGAAGATCTTACCTCTTAATACTTTCTATATTTGGTCAATCATTAACAAACAAAGCTGAAAGTAACCAAACAAATGTAAAGTTTATTGTCAATTTTTAAAACCAGTGTTACCCTGCTAGGGATGTAAAGTCCCAGTCATGATCTAAGTATTAAACTCCATAGTAGTAGTGTCCCAGTAACCTTCACCATATGAAATATGTTAAGTAACAATAGCATGGTAGTTTGAATTTGACCTGATTTTTTTTTTTATTTTCTTCATTTGCAAAACATTTGCTTATGTATTCAATGATTTTAGAGGTTGATTTTTTCAAAAAAATAAATAAAAATAATTTATACTTCCGTATTAATGTCACTAACTTTTTCTTATGAAAATAAAACTCTATTTATGTTTGAAAGGGTGCAAAAATGAAATTCTTATTATTCAAATCAAAATTAAACTTTGGGATAACTGAACTGCGAACAAAATGAATGTAAAGCAACGGAACAATTATAGCATTTTGAAACTAAGAAAATAATGGTGGTATTTGCGTGCTATTTCGTATATTTGCTCTTCAATTTGTCACATTGTGCGAAATTGAAGAACTTGTTTCATGGTAAAACCCGTAAGCTCTTTTTATGAGGCCTAAATGGGAATTTTTTCGCTGGAAGCGTAAGAATTTGAAATTGTACGAAAACTTCACAGGGACTTAGGGACAAAGAATGGGGAAACAGTTATATCAGAAGCTGTAACCGGATGTTTTTATGTCAGCAATAAAATTAATAAAACAAAAGATAAATATTTAAAATTATATCTTGTTACTAGGTTTATAATTCTATCTTATAATATTCTATTAACTAGAAATACTTTTGGTGAGGGTTGATCTAAACCAGCCCATTATGTATAAATTTCAGCATGCCAAATATTAAACAACTTATTAGAAACAAAAGAAATATGTAACGAATTCCCCCATGCTTTGGGGATGCTCTCAGCGTCAAATAACATGTACTAAGGTGTATTACCTGTTTGTGTGACTTGTTCAGATTATGAGCTGGAACAAAACAAAAGAAAGGAATTATTTTTTCTAATTTTCAGTACTTGTGAATAATATGAAACACCAGTTACTACCTATAAATTTCAAAATGAAAAAGAATATGTTGATCTATTTGGTATGGTTTCTGTAGGTAGAATCACTGGCCTATTGGTCTAGCCTATTGACCACTCTTGGTTTATAAATCTTATTAGAATCTACTACTACTTGCAGGAAAATGGTGATGATAAATCTCATAGCTCAGCTATGGACATATCTGATGTGGGGCAGACAAAGGTTATTGGAGCAGAAGTGTCAAGTGAAGTTCAATCTGTGAGTTGATCTGCTTTCTAATTAAGTGTCCTCAAGTCTGTTGTTTTGCACTATTGTCTGAAAGCTATCCAAATATTAATTATTACCTGGCCTCCAAAATACTGGCTACTTCATAAATCTATTAGTGCTGTAATGGAACTGTGATTAACATCTAATGCTTTAGCTGTTTCAGGGATCTCTAGAAGAGGAAATTCCCTTACCAAATGCAACTGAAAACCTAATAGGTGAGTGGGCTTGACATGTTACGTCTTGGATAGCGAATTTTCTTGTTCAAATTTCTTTCCATTTTGAATTATCTTAAAATCATTGTAAAATTACTCGTTTGATGTGTGCAGAAACTAGCTCTACCTGCCTATGTGGTGATAATGAAAATAGTAGGAAGGGCCTGTCTCAAGCATCCTTCAACAAAGAGGATATTCCATCAAAGTTGGCACTTTACCTCAATGGAGAGTTGTTAGAATCTTCATCTACCCTATACCAAGAAATTCTTGAAAGACGGGTGAATGGTTCAAAATTGTGGACTAGTACACACACAATAACGTATAGGAGAGTAGCAGGTAATGAGACAAGCAGTCTTAAGGAGTCTAGTAACATGTATGGCGATGCTGCAATAGATAAAGTTTTGTTATGCCGGCAAGTTATGCCACTTTTCTCCAACATATTTTCTCATGGACTTGGTTCTAAGCTGGGTTCATCAAGTACTTCAAGTGATATATTGTTGCTCCTCAGATGTTTGGAAATGATGAACCGCTTTTCATATCATTTGGTGTCTTATGAAAGAATGAATGCTTTTGCTGAAGGTAAAATAGACGATTTGGATGAGTTAAAAGTAGCACTTCCTAGACTGTCACAGTATGAATTTGTGAGCAGCAGATTGACAGACAAATTAGAACAACAGATGCGGGATCCCTCATCAGTCCATGTTGGAGCCATGCCATTGTGGTGTAGTCAGTTGATTGCTAGATGCCCATTCTTATTCAGCTTTGAGGCAAGATGCAAGTTTTTTCAGTTGGCAGCATTTGGTAAAGTGCAAATCCCACCTAATATGTCATCTCCTAGTGATTCAAATTCGTCTAGAGACAGGAGAGCTTCTGTTGGTAGTCCACCTCGTAAGAAGTTCCTGGTATGTCGGGAACGTGTTTTGGAGTCAGCTGCTCAAATGATGGATCTTTCTGCACAAAAGAAGGTAGTTATTGAGGTGGAATACAGTGAAGAAGTTGGTACAGGTCTCGGTCCAACACTGGAATTTTACACATTAGTAAGCCATGAGTTTCAAAAGGCTGGCTTGGGTATGTGGAGAGGTGATTATATATCATCTACTAACAGTTGCAGGAAGCAGGATTCTAGTTCCAGAGTGATGGTATCTACTTCTGGACTATTTCCTCGCCCTTGGTCACAGACA